GGTAAGGGGGGGGGGGGACTTACAATATTTGAATCCAACTGTCTTGAACAAGAATGATACCACCACTAACTCAACTGATGCTGATTCGGTTGTCTTGGATGTATCTTGTTTGAATGTTAGTGTTATCTCTCCTCTTCCTACGTTTCAGCTTATGGGAGAAAGAGAGAGAGAGAGAGAGAGAGAGAGAGAGAGAGAGAGAGAGAGAGGGGGGGGGGGGGGGGGAGAGGAGTAGCGCGAGAACTTCCGGACAAAACAAAATGGCGACCCGCATAGTTCAGCTCGATTCGGAAAGTTAAATAGCTGCAGCATCTTTGTAGACGACCAAATTAATTTACTTTTGTGTTTTAACATCATTTTTTATCTTTGTTTTTGCAATTTGATTTTGTCCACACCGATAGACAGTATTCAGAAAGAGACAGAGAGAGAGAGAGAGAGAGAGAGAGAGAGAGAGAGAGAGAGAGAGAGAGAAGGAGTAGATCTTGCGAGAACTTTCGGACAAAACAAAATGGCGACATGCATAGTTCGGCTTGATTCTAAAAGTGAAAGAGCCATAGCACCTTTGTAGACGACCAAATTAGCTTACTTTTGTGGTTATAACGTCATTTTTTTCTTTGTTTTTGTCAATTTAACCATCCACATCGATAGACAGTATTCCGAAATTAGGAAAAACAGGTCTTGTTTCACACCGGGTGAGAATAGCCAACACTGGCAGGTCTCACCTGGAGTGAGAGGTCGATCGTATTTTTATTCTCACCCTGGGTGAGGATAGCCACTTTTCCTCTACCTAAAACTAATTAGATCTAGACAAGCAGATCAAGAAATCTAGATCTTTAGATCTAGGGCACTCCTCACGGCGCACCGGCAGTGGAATTTTAGTTGCTGCGGGGGATTCCCCGCCGGGCGTCTTATTACGTCGGGGTCACGGGGGTCAGCTCCCTGTCGCCGCTCTGTCTGGGCCGACTTAATTTTTGGGTTTTTTCAAAGTACAATTTTAGGTGTATCCTTGTATTTATTGTAATTCTCATTTAGTGCACTCAAAGCATGCATTTCTGCTCTTGAGACTCAAAAAAGAACAGACTTTGTAACTTGTCTGGTTATTTTGTTAGACGCGCTGAAGAAAAAAAAATATTTTAAAAAGGCCTTAATAAAATCTCTCGAACTTTTGGAACATGAATGACATAGCATTTGTACAGATACTCAGAAAAGATGGTATCTGCGCAATAGAAAGCTGTAATTTTGCAACTTTATCCATCGGGCACACAATTTTCTGTGAAGTAATTCCTCCAAATACAACTTTATGTGTCTAATATAATCGTGAATATTGGCATATTTTCTCGAAAGTTTAAAAAAGTTACCTTGAAGTTTCTCTATGAAAAGTACAAATCGATTTTAGAGCCAGAATACATCTTCAATGTAATACACGAACAGTATCTGTTACACTCCAGAAATTTCTTACTTTTCTTGAAACGCTAAGTCAAGGTTTTGTAAGTTGACTGAATAATAGGGATGACTTCTCGTAATTGGGTTATAAGAATAATTTCTAGCTTTCTAGGGACACTGAATCAACAACAGACGTTTCCAGCTTTATTTTTCATTTCTATGACAATTTGCAATAAGTGACAATGTGACTGATTTCTTTAATTCATAATTGTGTCTGGGAATATTTCTGACACAAAAACTAAGAATGAATGTGTTAGCTGTCATTATTTTTATTCCGCACAAGAAGTTTATCTCTACCCATGTATTTACATGATTTTGTGGGGGGGGTTTTCATCGCTCATATTATATCTTTTTTAGTTGTATGCATGCTGCCACAGACACAGCATGATTCATGAACAACCACAGATTAACTTTCTCTTGTTTAATAGTAAAATAAGAGCTTTATCTAAATCTGATTGTCTTTAGTAAAAAAAATGCAGAGATGTGCATCTTTCTTCTCTTATAACTTGACTATTACTACTCGCACAGATTTACGATTTCACGTGGTAAAAGACATGATATTCGTAGTCAGTTTAACACAGAGTTTAGAGAGATCTATCGAGCCTTTTTTAAATTAACAATCATTTATTTATAAGTTTGTAACTAAAATAGGACAAATTGGGTACTCTACAAACACTTGTCTAGTACAAAAACTAAGGCACAGAAATTAACCATTCTAACACAGAATAAATCTCAAGACATTGAGCTTTTAGTACATCCCCGTAATGGTTTGCTTTGTCAGATGGGGAAAAAGAATATTGTTTTAAATATAGTCAAAAATGCGAACTTCCTAATCGACACCGGCAAAGTCGCTTCAGGGCTCATTAACCCCGTGACCCCGAGCCGGGGAGCTCCGGCAGGCTGCTGAGTCACGCTAACTAAAGGTAACAGAATCGGGCGAAAAGTGACGCCGTGTCCAGTACAGTATAACAATTGCAGTCCCGTTAGAATTAGCACTAGATCTAAATCACCAAAGACTACTGGACATCGATACTGATTTAAATATTCGGTATAGAGGTTTTATCAGTAGATCTAAATTTAGCCTACAAAATGAGCAATAAAATTACAAATTCAAGGCAAGGGAGGTTTCAGGGTGGGACCACCTAAACAAAAACACAGGGGTTTCAGGGGGGCATGCCCCCCTGAACTTGACCATAATTTGATGTTTTGCAGTTAGGTTTGATTGGCTATCTCTCCATAAGAGTCCATAGGCTATAGATCTAGATCTAGACCTAGGCCTATAGATCGGCACACGCATCAAAAATTAATCGGGGGGCTCTCATGGCCCAAAGGTTTTAGGAGTTGGCCTCTCATTCAAAGGTCCCGGGTTCGAATCCGGGTAGCGACCGAAAAATTTTCTTCTCTAAAATTGTCTCCTTTCACCTCCTTTCCTGCTCTCTAGCAATGTTCTGTTTTCTGCTTTCTGCCCCCAACCCCTGACCTCCTTTATCCCCTCCTCAGGGGTCCTGACTCTTTCTGCAGCCTTTCTTATCTACTGCTACTCCTTGGCTCCTCCTAACTGCTGTCTTTCTGCCACACCCCTGATCTGGTAAGAAAGATCTACACCTAGCCTTCTCGGACAAGGGCAAAAAATCTCGGAGGGCCTGTGTGCAAGTTGCGCACGTTAAAGATCCCTTGGTGGTCTAAAAACGATAAGAGTAGGCTTCGGCCGCCACCCGGTAGGTCTGGATCCTGCCCGCCAAATTTGAGAGTGGCGATTCGCGATTCAGTCAGCTTCAAAGAACCGCCGGAACACTGACTGAAACGGAACAGTGTCATGTCAACGCCACTAGGCGAGTGCGAGTCCCACTCTTGTTGTCCCCGCCACCCTTTTGTTGCGCTGCTCTATCTACTGACCTCAATTAGTGACCCCCATAAATTCACCTTCTCCCGCAATCATATGATTCGCTAAAACAATGGCTCCATAAAATTTCTTCTGTCTATTGGTTGGACCCCGTTCATTTTGTTTTAATAGGGGGGTCGGACTATACCATCTTGTGTAAAATAAGGGGAGCCATACTAAACTAAGTGTTCCGTTCTGTTCTTGCGCTCGCGACTTGACTCAGCAGTAGGTTAAACAAGCCACAAGGTGGTGACAGCGACAGGGGAGTGAATCGGGAATCGTTTGGCGATACTGTTCCGCGTTCCGCTGAAGTGAATCGTGAATCGCGTTCCGCAGCAAGAGTAGCGATTCAGTTCCGTTCTCGACCCAGCCCTACCACCCGGGCAAAATTCAAAATTTCCTACCAACTCAAAATATTAGGTGTGTCCCACGCGCTCACATGACCTTATGCAGTTGCGAGCGCCGTAAAAACACTAACCAAAACAAACAAACAACAAAAGTAATCGTCTACAACCAGAAGTAGCCTAGATCTAATAGATCTAGATCTAGTTGGTAAGTTGGTGAGGTCAAAGTCAAAACGATACATCCCTATTGACCCTATATACTCAGGACTGCAATAGTCTGAGGAGTGCCAGATCTAGATCTAGATCTTACTACTAGATCTAGATCTCTAGATCTAGTACCAGATATATATTATGCAGATCTATACAAGAATAGATATAGCCATAGCTATTATTAGCCTATTATAAAAGTATAAAGAAAGTCCCGTGCCGTTGTTGTTAATTTAGAGGTAAATCTCAATCTACATTCTACATCATCTAGATCTAGATCTAGATCTAGACTCTAGCTCAAAATAAGGCAATGTACGTACTCATTTTCAGCCCAGATACAACTGGTGTTGTCTCTCGAACCAGAAATCAAGCCATGTTCAGGAAACAAGGAAGAAACAAGAGCCCTAACATCTTTTTCATGACCGGTTAGATTACACCGCAGTTTATACGGCGTCGCCATGATGAAAAATTCAACGGAAGTAAAAGATGTAAACATAACGTTGTCGGTGTATCTCAAATGATTCGTTTTTAAAAAAATGAATATAATAATATAATTGTAACGGCAGTGATAAATTATATTACCTGTATTTGTTGCGTCTTGGGCAAATTTAGTTCTATTGTCAGATATATTTCAGGGTGATACCTAAGTAAAATGTATCAGACTCCCAAAGTATAAAAAGGCTTCCCACAAGGGCAGGAATAACGTATATTGTAGATTTGCTTTTTTCTTTCTTTTTTTTAAGTTTAGACAAGTCCTGAGCCTTCTTATTCTTGTGACTTAATTAAAGCTTTTGGTAGGCCTACGTAGCGTTAACTGTGGTGTTACTGACATGAAGCGATCGACTGCTTCAATGTTTAATGGACGTAAGATGTATAAGAGCTAGTTTTGTAGTCATAATGTGGTACCCATCTGCAGAGATGGTCAGGCGACCCCCAACCCCTTTGTCGTCCCCATCCCTTTTCTAGTATATAATAATAAAGTCTTCTGGTGTACGGTGGGGCAAAATCCTAATTGTGTCTGTAACATTTTTATGCATGTAGGACAGGTAGGACGAGGTATTTAAGGGGCGAGGGGGGTGGGTGTGGGGGGAGGCTATCACAACAAAAACTGGCAAAACTATCAGTGGTAGAATAATATCTAAGTAAGGGAACAGCCCAAATGTATGACACTTTCAGTGTAGGCTTCCACATGAGCTCATAATGTGTGTTTCAAATGCTCACTTCTAGGGATCGAGGACAAAAAATCAGAATCATACCCTTGAGGAGCATAAAAATAAAAAGAAATGAAGCAAACTCGTAACAGCAGGTAACTTAAACATAACTTATTTGCCCCCC